AAGTAGCAGAAATTTCTATACAAGATAATATACCTCAATTTTCGAATCGATTTGGCTCATACGGAATTTTAGCAGACGAAAGTACTAGAGGAGAAAAAAAATATTTTTAGTATGTATAGCTTACTGGAACGAGAATAAACAAGAACCTATGCTTACTATTCTTAATATGAAAGATTTAGATCGTTGTTCAGCATCTACGGTATCTTTAAGCGTAGGAGAAGCTCTTAGTAAAAATTTATTAAATCTAGTACAATGTCAATATTGACTTACCGATAATACAGCTTATATGTCAGGATCAACAGGTGATGCTGTTATTAAATTCAATCAGCAATATTCAGCAAATGCAGCTCAAATTCCTTGTGATCTACATGCGTTACATATAGCTTCAACACATTTTAATGATATGACATTTGGAAAAATTAAATCAATTTCAGAAATTTCTTTAGATCCACATCCGTCGAATGTTCTTAATCTGGCTTATTATCTTCATTGCGGATATAATGAATCTGATAAAGACAATCCATTAAATATGAAAACAGAGAAAATTAGCGAATTATATAAAGCATTACTTAATTATAATCTTAAAAAATATCAAAAACCTATCTCAACCCGTTGGTTATATCAATTAACTACAGCAAAACAATATTTAGATCGGAAAGATATTCATTTACAATTTTCTAGTTGGTTTATCAACCAACTAGAAAAAGCAAACAAAATTCCTGAAAGTTATTTAAAAAAATGGAAAACGTTTTATAATTTTTTACAAAACGATAAATTAAATATAGAAATTCAAATAATAGTTAGTTTCGGCGAATGGTTTTATGAAAAAGTTATGTTCTTTTTAATCGGTAAGGATACAAATACTACGAATCTTCCAAGTGGATTTAGAGCGAGTGAAATGCCAGATAAAGTCGAACAATGGATTAATGAATTGCAAATAGCAGCTGAACATCCTGACGAAGTCTTTGTAGAAGAGATGCTATTAGCTCATGAAGCTTTATCTACAGATGAGTTTGATGATTTAATAAATAGAATTGGACATGGAT